GAAGAAAGGTACTTGGCACAGAGTGGGCACTCCATAAACATTTGTCAAAGGAAGGAATGCATGGGTGCTGCCCAGAACTGAACACAATACTGCAGATGTGATCTGATCTACGCAAGAGTCATTAGGAGTACAAACACTCTTTTTTACACTGAACATCTGTTAATGAAGGTTTAGAGCGCATTAGCTTTTTTGTCAAACATCCTTACTTCTTCAACAACATGTTACATATTGTCTATGTAACATGTACAAAGCATAGTGAGGTGTTATGGGTGATACGAACTAAAAGATAAAAATAATTGTCTTCCAGCTGTTCATAATTTTATGAGTAAGAGTCACACATTTATAATCAGCTGTGTCACAAGGCAATGAACAGGAGGTCATTAATTCCAATAATTCACTCTACAAATACACTGGGTCATCTGAAAAGTCATGATGCATTTTTGCATAGAAAAATATGTCATGACTTTTTAGACAACCCAACATGTTGAGTACCAACAATGAACTGGATACTCTAGTCACCTCTGTGGATATAAAATTTTAAAAATACAGTCCCGGATCTCAGAAAGCTTACAGGCTAGAGGGAGAAACAGATTAATTCGTAGGGAATTACAATCGAGGTAAGAAGAGCCATAATAAGTTAAATTCAGGAGGCTATGGACATAAGGAGAAAGAGTTAAGGGAAGAGTCAAGGAAAACTTTCTGGAGGAAGTAAATCTCACATTGATTCCTAACAGATGAAAGAGTTGCAGCTGAAGAAGGGGAGGGGATGTACTGGAAGGAGAAAGAGAAGTACAGTGAAGCCCCAGTGAGCAGCTGGTGAAAAGGTCAAGCCACAATAACAAGATAGTTTGAAAGAGCATGATTTATTCCAGGAGAGAGCAAGTAGTACTCAGGCTCAGTCAGTTCAGGCTGCCAAGCGAAATACCATAGACTGAGGGGCTTAAACAGCAGACATTTGGGACCAGCAGTTAGTGTAATGGCTATGTCACTGAACTCCCATGTAGTCGACCGCAGTTTGAGTCCTGGACCCAGTGGCTTAAACTCGCGCCGGGCACGTGTGTGTATGTGCCCAAAATCCGGAGAGGCGAATGGAGGAGAAGGGATTGCGGCATGGCCATCCCCTCTGGGGGGTTATTTCTCGCTTTCTATCTCTCTGTCTCTCTCTGTCTCTCTGGCAAGCGCACATGCCCAATAAGAAGAAACCTCTCAAAATAAAACAAAACAGCAGACACTTATTTCCTCACAGTTCTGGAGATTGGAAGTTCACATCAGGGTATCAACATGGTCAGGTTCTAGTGAGGACTCTCATTCTGGCTTGCTGTTCTCACAAGGTAGAGAGAGAGAGAGATTTATTTCATCTTCTTATAATGCCACCAAACCTATCAAAATAGGGCCCCATGCCTGACTTAATTTAACTGTAATTACATCTCAAAAGCTCTATCTCCAAATATAGTTATATAGAGGCTTAGATCTTCAACATACAAATTTGGGGAGGACACACATTCAGCCTATAACATATATCATGATTGGAAAACAAGTAACCATTTGGAAAATGATGGAGAAAGAAAATTGAGAGGTAGAAGGACAGAGTGCAGAAGACCCCTTAGATATACTGTCTGCTCACAGTGATTCCTTGAGAATGTTCTATACACAAGAGGGAGTCCCTGATGGTCACCCTGGGCCATGTGTTTTCCCCACGAATCTAGCGATGAACTGATTTATTTAAGCTGGGCCCATCAGAATATTATTCCCAGCAATGTTGAAACTGGAAGCAAGGTACACAGAGCCTGAGTCTTTAAACTGAGAGAAGAGTCACCACAAATAGTGCACCACGTAGGTGGCAGCTCTCGTCAAGGACTTCGGATTTTGCTGCTGACATATTCAGAACTCTCCTAGTTCAAGTTACTCCTGACCTTGAGCCGTTCAAGTACTTTCTCACTTCTATGAGCTTTTCCAATATCTTCCTGATAAACAGTATTTTTTTTCCCCTTGAGTTAGCCAGAAGATAATTTAGGAATTCACACTCTTTGGGATTAGTATATCATGCCAATGTGTCTGGAGTTTTCCCTCAAGACAACAGAGTCACTGAGGGCTCTGAGAAAGGAAGTAATATAAGACTAGTTTTGGAATGATCACTCCACTGGTGGTATGAAAGATGGGTAGATTAGGGTCACAGAGATGAGTTAGAAGGCTGTTGCAACATTCTGAGCAAGAAATAATGAGATCAGAAGGAGCAGATAGGATGAATAACATTCAGAACTATGGAGAAAGATAGAATCAACAAGGGCTTATTAATCAAATGAATGGGTAAGCCCTGGTGTGTTAGGAGTCAAAGATAATTTTAGAAAATTTGTTTCCAGTACCCAGGAGAGTAAAATATGGTGCCATTCAATAAAGGAAGAGGACTTGAGCCGAGTGTAGGGTAAAGAACACCAGTCATTTAATTTGGAACATGCTAAGTTGTGGGTATTGTTCAGACATATAGTCAAAAAGTTCAACAATCAAAAATACTGGTTGAGAGCAGAGGAGCAAAATGTGACCCCTGTATTTAGGAACCACCAGTATATGTAGTTTGTTCATACTAGTGACCACTGACAATGGATAAGAACAGCTAGATGGGAGCTGGCAGGTGGCATGGTGGTTAAGGTCACTGGACTCCCACATAGGTGACTGAAGTTCAAGTCCCAGACCCAGTGACTTGCTTTCTCTCTCTCTCTCTTTCTCTGACTCTGTCCCTCTCTGGTCAAATTTAAAAATAAGCAAATAAATAAATAAAGTTAAACAAAAATTTTTTTTGAAGGGAGAGATTTTTGCTATAGGATGCATGCACTTGCCAGAAAGACACAAAGAGACAGAGAGACAGAAAGAGAGAAATCACCCCTCCAGGGGGGATGGCCACACCACAATCTCTTCTCCTCCATTCTCCTCTTGGGATCTTGGACACACATGCACTCACGGCCAGCATGAGTTTAAGCCACTGGGTCTAGGACTAGAACTACTGTCGACTACATGGGAGTCCAGCGATGAAGTCATTATGCCATCTGCTGGAACCAACAAAATACTTCTTAAAACAAAGAAAGAACACCTAGATGAAATGACAAAAGGGCTAGGTGAGAAAAGTATTTAGTAAGAGGAAATGAGAACAGAGAAGAAGGTGGAGCCCTTCTTAAATATGAACATTTAAGTGGGAGGACAGGAGATAATCTTGTCCTAGAAGGTAAGGCTAGAGAGTTTCAAGAAGAAAGTGGACAATAGTGCCAAATACCTTTGATAGGCCAAATAGAGCAAAGGCTGAAAATTCAATTATAGTGATAATGAATAATTTATTATTGACAAAAGAGACTTTAGTGGATAGCATGAGACTGAAAGAGATTGGAGTTAACTAAGGTGACAAAAGAGACAAGAAAGGTAAAATGGCAAGTGTAGATCCCTCCTTTCAGTTCACAAAGAAGATACGAAATTGTATTACTGAGGGGAAAGGGAGAAGACATTGACAGGGGTTTGGGGGGACACCTAGAAAGGTTGGAGGTAAAGTGGGAGATCTTAAAAAAATAGTGACACTAACATGTACAAATGTGTGTTGCTCTTTGTGAGTGTTAGGCGTGGGTTAGAGAAGGTGGATAGTTGGATTGACCAGGACTGGGGTTTTGCCAGGTGGGTAGGTCAAAGAGTGAAGGACTTGAGAGAGTTAAGCAAGAGCAAGATTAAGTATAGATCTTTGTTTTTAAGCTTCCTGGAGAACAAGAGGAGTCTGAGAAATAAGGGTGGAGTGAAGGAGTCAGGGGCATCAAGCCTTTGATGCAATTAATTGTAGTACGTTCACTCTACTCACTGAGGTTTATGCCTAAAGTCAGACATGTGTTCATAGATACGTATCTATCAGCTGCACTTGCTACTGAAAGTATTTAGATTAATTAAGATATTTTGTGAATCAATAAAATGTAAACAAAACAAAACAAAACATGGAAAGCAACTGTAGATACCAGAGACCGCGTGGGAGGAGGATGGGAAATGGCAGAGGATATTTGCTCATGAGAACATGTATAGTAATATCCTTGATTGAGCCATGTACAGTGTATTCTGGATGTGAAATCTCATTTTGTATGCTGCAATGATATACAGTGAACGAATGTAAAATTTTTAAAAAATTTAAAAACATGAATTGATAAGAAGATTGTGTTCCAATATTGGAGTAAAAGGTTTCTCAGATGGAATATGATGACAAGATCTATTGGGTCATTGGGAAAGTCATGGTGTTATTTTTCTATGTAAAAAGCCATCATGACTTTCCCAATGACCTAACAGGATGTAGTCAAGAGTGTAGGCTAGGAAAAAAAAAAAAGTAGATAACAAGAAAAAATGAAAGATCTGTGAAGTTAGGATCCTTGAGCACATTTATATGTTGATGCAAAAATTCATTAGAAGAAGAATGCATTAGTCAGGAGGAAATAGGTGAAATGCCTATCCTAATTCTAATGTGGAATTCCAACTCCACATAATGTGAAATACCCTAGTTCCACCTAAGGAAAGTTTGGAGAAAAAGCTACTCAATGATGTAGTTATTACAAGGTAGAGAACCAACTAATGCTTGTAGAGTACCCTGGAGCAAGAAAACAGGAGAACAGGGGCCAGATGGTGACACAGAGGTAAAACACTACCCATCCCATGTGGGCAAGTTCTGGTTAAAGTCCAGATTCTTCCTTGAGTATGGGCATGGGTATGCCTGTGGTCTGAGTTTGGCTGAGGATGAGGATAAACTATGGTGTCAGGACTCTGTGGGGTTGCTGTCTCTCACTCATGGAAGAAATAAACTTAGAAACAAGCAATAGAATAATTACCTTAGATTTAAAGGGGTAAGAGGAAGAAATATTTATAAGAAACCAGAAGGAGAGGGTTGTTTTGAGAGAACAACAACTTTTGTCAAAAGAAACAACCAACCCAAGAAGGAGCAGTATAAGGGAGATAATCCTATCTCATGCGTCTCTCTCTCTCTCTCTCAGGTCTCCTGTTGGGGATTCCCATCAGTCCAACCTCTCCAGAAAGTACAGAGCAAAGAAGCCTATTGACCTAATGTACACAGACGTCAGCCTCTCCTAGCCCGGAGCAGGGTGGAGAAAGATGAAAAGTGGCTCTGGAGAGGCAAACAGAGAGCCAGTCAGCCTGTGAGAGGACAGCTACAGACTGAAGAAGGCAAACTGCTAGTGCACATTTCTGATGGAGGAAATGAGATCTGAGTCTCCAATAGACGGAGGAGACTCACGTAGGAAAGATAACTTGCTATTTTAAAAAGAGATAAGTAATAGAAAGTAGGTTTTATTTGCAGTTACCTTTATGGATTCCACTTTGTCAGTGAATCAGAGATATATATTGAGATGTAATGCAGTGAGGGATAAGAATGGCAAAAGGTCGGGACCAGCAGTTAGCGTAATGGCTATGTCGCTGGACTCCCACGTAGTCGACTGTGGTTCGTGTCCCCGCCCCAGGGGGGATGGCCATGCCACAATCCCTTCTCCTCCATTCTCCTCTTGGGATCTTGGGCACGCACACACACCCACGCCCGACATGAGTTTAAGCCACCAGGTCCAGGACTTGAATCACTGTCGACTACATGGGAATTCAGCAACACAGCCAAGAATGGCGAAAGGTTTGACAACAGTGGGAAAGGCTTGATGTTATCATTGGGAAACAGAAAAGAAAGCTGACCAGAGAAATGCAACAGGACTGCCATTTATAGGAGAGTCCATTTAGCATACGGTCATGAACACAAAACTGCCCTTTGTGTGAGTTTTTTCCAATGCTACTTACTGGGTCATATTCAGGTATGAAAGAACAAGTTGTTACGGCTCCGTGAATGAATTTTGCCAACTGGAGGCAAGAGAGTTTTTGAAATGATGAACCATGACTCTAAGTTGCAGAAGAAGGAAAGGGAAGGCTGAAAAGGACTAATAGATTTGGAGAAAGTAGAGCCGACAGTGGACAGGGTGCTCTAACGAAGCATCGCAGATCAAAAAAGCTAGAAAGATGACACGTGGTGGAAAAGAGCAGGATGCCTGAATGAGTGATTTTGGAGGTTCTCTCAGTCTGTTCTTTTTTGGTTGCGAGTAATAGAAACTAAATTCCAATTAGCCTAAATGGAAAAGGAATTTACTGACTTATATAACTTGGAGGTCCAAGGGCAGAGGTAGCTTCAGACATATTTATTAATAGATCCAAAAATACGATCCAGCTGGAAGATACTATTACAGTTTCTCTCTCTCTCTCTTTCTCTTTCTCTCTCTCTCTCTCCTCTAAGGTTTCTTTGTGGTTTCTATTCCTCTATCTCTCTTGCAGCAGGCAAACTTCCTCCATACAGCTCCATATGGAAAGATGGCCTTTGGCAGCCCCAAGCCCACTTCATGGCAGCTGATGGTCCTTTAGGATGATAAACTCTCCCAGTGTCCATAGATTGAAGTTCCTGGAAGGGCTGTGGCTGACTTCTCTTGCATCTCAGCCTGTCTCTTGAGCCAGCTGTGGCGATGGGAGAGCGTCTGCTCTAATTGGTCAGAGCTGGATGTCATCCCTGGAGGAGAGAGGGCAGGGAGTGGAGGGGAGCTTTGTAACTGACAGCCTTTCCACTGTCAAAGGAGTGAACGAGAGGAAGTTTTCTCAGACACTAGGGGTGTGGAGAGGACAGCAACAGCAGATACCCATTGCAGAGGTGGAACAGTGTGTGGGGCACGGAGGCATGTGAAACCACACTTAGACTCTCAGAAAGACTGCTTCGTATGACTTGTTCATTGTATGCATATGTTCTACTAAGTTCCAAAGTGTCAGTACTTTTTGACACATACTCAGTTCTGAAAATTCTATGTAATAATGCCTAATGAGAGTGGGGAAAAAATAGTGTCGTAGCGATGTCCCAGTATTTCACAATCCCTATGAAATACTGAGCCGGACAGCCATTAGTTGCCTCTTCCTATTCCTTCACCTTTTTTTCTTTCCTAATATTGACCATATTTTCTTTGAGGAAATAGAGAAGACCCCATTCTTAGCAACATTGTTAAAGAAGGACAGGTAATTCCTGGCTGGGTTAAGCTAATCAGAGTTACCCATGTCCTTGGTCTTGGCAGTAGGTGTGGAGTTGGGCACACGGTATAGTCTGTCTGGTCAGGGCCTTGGGTTTTTGCCGGGAATGCTGCGACACAGGCTTTATCTTTTTCTGGACTGTGTGATGTGAGAATGGGAAGCTGGGATGCTTGCAGCTATGAGGGGAGCTGGTCTGAGGACACAATGGCCACACTGAAAAGCACAGAGCTGACAAAATGTTAGGGACATTGGGTTTGGCACCTAGATAACATACTGAATCTCTGAATCAAGTCAGGCACTGTCTCCAAATTTCAGTTACATGAACCAATGAAACCCCTTCTGTGGGAAAGCTTCTTATTTTCTCTAGGCCTCATTTTTCTATTTTTTTAAAAGAATTATTTATTATTTAATTTTACATATTACTATTTTTAAATTCGACCAAAGAGAGACAGACAGGGAGAGAGAAGGGGTAAGTGAGGAAGCAAGCTGCCAATTCCAGGTCTTGAACCGCAGTCAGCCGTGTGGGGAGTCCAGTACCTTAACCACCGTGCCATCTACCAGCCCCTCATTTCTTCAGTTTAAAAGTGGTAATGACAAAAGAATTTGTATGGCTTATTGTAAAGGGTTAAATGAAATAATGTACACCCTGGCAAATATTGGTACTCTAAATACCTCTTGTTCTAGAAGACTGTGACACCATACCATGCTCAATCTACTTTCATGACATTGATTGGTGTGTGACTCTTTTAAACTTAGGTACATGGGCTTTAGAAAGCTTCACGTTGCACACACACAAAGAGGTAAAATGATTTTTAACATACATTTATGTTTTCCTACCATAAAATTACAGAAAGTATAAATGGTTTATGTCATTTATAGTTGCACTAAGTGTTCATGGTCACTCTTATGAAAATAGAGTATCAGGTCTTTGGTCAGCAGCAAAATCCTTTATTGTTTGTTCTTCCTTGAGAATGTCGCCTTGGCTCTTGACCATTGTCAACTTCTGTTACCTAATTCAGGAGCACTGGCCATGATAAACATGACGATTACATGTGTTGAAGTAGTCTCTCAATCTCTCTCTCTCTCTCTCCATGTGTTTTTCTCATATTCTTTCCTTAGATTGCATTTATTTGTGTTTATTATTACTTATAAAATAAGTAATGCAGGATCCTGAAAAATTATTTTGGTTGTTTCTGTGTCTGTGTGTGTGTGTTTTGTTTTTGTTTTTGCTTAGTTTTGTTTTTTGCCTAAGATGTGTTCATAAAAACACTTACTAGAGGGCCAGCAGGAGGTATGGAGGTTCAGATGGCTGGATCTTACATTTCTGACTTCACAGTTTGAGTCCCAGAACCAGCTGCTTGAAATTCACACTGGGTGCATGTGCATGCATGCCCAAAATCCCAAGAGAAGAATGGAGAGGGGATTGTGGCATGCCCATCCTCTCTCTCTGTCTCAGTTTTCAATGAGCACAAGTACCCTATAGCAAAAAAAAAACAAAAAAAAAAAACAAAAAAAAAACCACCTGCTAGAAAGCAATGAGATGAAACTGTCCTATGGTTAAGAAACTATGATGCTATTTGTCACAAAAATGGAGACGCAGAGAAATAGAAGAATAAAAACGTATAAATATGGTTCCATATATTTAATCTTGCAAACCCAACTCATAACAGTAAATTTGTGAAAACAAAACAACACATTAAGAAACATAGAAAGTAACAATAACCATAAACAAAATACTACTGGAACTTAGCTGTACCACATCCTCAGTTCTGGTTTGGATGCAACACAAGTGTTTTAAATTGTACTGGGCGGAGGCCCTGGCAGGAAGGAAGCATCGGATATTGCTGGAACATATCTTTGTTTGAGCAACAGCTAATGAGAAAGGTCACCATTATGCTTTGCTTTCAAACACTGAGTCTGTTTTGAAATTAGTACTGAACATTTCATCATAAATGCTGGTTCATAATCATCGAGGTATGCAGTCCTGTAGTATTGACATTTTTTTCTCCCAAATGGAGAATAAAAGCCAAAGTTTATATTCTCATCACTGTTTTGATCAGAATATGTCAGTACGAGATAAAATGATTTCTAATTCCATGGGCTCTGGAGTTCCTGGTTATTTACAAAACTCCAATAGTGAATTTAAGAGAAATTTAGCCTTCTCATTTTTTCCCCTACTGTCTGAGTGTTATTTGTACTCTTGTTAAGCTCATTGCCAGTATTTGAGAAGCAAGGTTTTCTGGACTTTGTTTCCTAACGCTTACTGCGTTTGTTTAGTGAAACAAGTGAATGACGCTGAGATCCTAAGAGAGAGCTTACTTTTTTTTTTTTTTTTGGTCTAGTGTTTCCTGACAAGGCAGTAAACTTCAGAAGATCTCCTTCCAGAAAGGGTTAACTTGCTCGGAAAACAATAAAAGCAGTTAGAGCAAACATTTCGGTCCCAATTTTGGGGGGAAGGGAGCAGGCATCTATTAAATATCTCAGTTTATATTTTTGGTTTTCCCTGTTGGCTAAGCTGTTGTATTCCCATGTCCACAGCACGTTTCACTGTGGGAGCCTGGACTCTCAGAATAAACTTTGGGAAAGGCTGGGTCCACCCTCTGGGGATGAGGGAGCCAGAAGGAGGAAAGGGAGGGGGTAAAGGAAAAGGGAAGGGGGGGCTGTCTTCCTGTGTTTGGATGACCTTTCCTTATGTTTATCCGGAGGGACTGGGCAGCTACGCTGTGTTTGGTGTCAGTCGGCCATGTTGCCCCATGTGATCTTTCCCTCAGCGTTTTGTGGGTAAAGGACCTTTGCCTCTGCTGGGAGGACTAGATTTAGTTCTCTGAGTTTAAAGAGAAAGAGAGAGAGAGAGAGATAAAGAAAGAGAAAGAAAAGAAAAAGCACGTAAGTCTGCTAAGGGTGAGGGCCTAGAGAAAGAAGTCTTATGTGTCTGTATCTAAGATTCTCTACAGGGGGAAAACCCTAGAGGCCTTTTGGAGCCATTGGAGGAAGGGCTCACTTGTGCTTCTGCCCACCTGCCGAGAAATAGCCTAAAATGCCCTCTTTCTTCTGAATCCTCACCATTTAGCAGAATGCCCCAACCCCAGTTGTGGGGATTCTGTAACTATTTATTGAATGGGTGAGTGGGTGAATGAGTAATGTGCAGAGTCACTGAGTGGTGACTGGGTAACAGGCTGTGGGGTCCCCACAATACCTCATTCATTTGCCAGTTCCTGCTTTCAGGACCCTGTGTAGCTCCACTTCAAAGAACCCAGTTTCAAGCTTCCTGGTCTCCCATTCCTGATGGGTGAATCACTGTTCCTTAAGGGTGGGTGAGCCCAGCTCCTCTGGTTTCCACCTCTCTCGTTTCAGCTCTGGCTCTCTTGGCTTAGGCTTAGAGCTGAAATGGTATTCCCCCAGAGAAGCTATCCTTAATCCTCCCAGTCTTCTCCACCAAAATTAGGTTTCTCAATATCCCATGTACTAAGCTCTTTCCATTTTCTTCATAGCACTTAACACGATTTCTAATTATATTCACTTCTGTGATAATCCACTTTAATGTCTGTTTTCTCTACTAGACAATGAACTCCTTGAAGAGAGAGATCATAGTTCTTTTCTCATCATTTATCCTCAGCACTGGGTACAGTCTCCAACCTATAGTAAGCACTCAGCAAGTGCAAATTAAATAAACGAACAAGCAGATTAATGAATACATTACATTAGACGGAGAATTCATACTAGATTACAGAGTAGGGTTGGAGAATAAAGGTCGGAGTCTGAAAGTTCAATCCCAGTCAGACCTTGGCTCCATTCAGGAGTTTAAGATTCTGGAAGAGGATGAAGTTTTGAGTCGTCTGGAAAGTCATGATGCATTTTTGCATAGGAAACCATAGAAAAATAGGCCATGACTTTTGTGACAGCCTAATCATTAACAGACACATGTGTCATTGAGCATTTACCTTTGAAAACTCCTGGGAGTACCAGAAACTTTATCTTCCAACTCTACTCATTCTTCCACTTTTCATAACAGCATTACTCTTGGTGACCAGGTAGCCAAACTGCAGGACTCTTGACTTTTCCCTCTTATGCACACCACACAGCATCACAATACTTCTTATTGGCTTTTCCTTTCCACTCCCATGAGGGCTCTTATCTATTTTATTAGGTTTCTTTTTTTTTTTTCCTTGTGAGTTAAGACACTCAGTCCCATTTAACGTAAGAGCAAAAACCAGGAACTTATTAGGTTGGGTCTCTGGGAAACTGAAAGGGATATTTGGCTTCAGATATGTCTAGATCCAGGGGCTCAGATACTGCTAAGGACTCCACCCTTCTTGCCATCTTAGTGCTAAACTTTCAAAGTGGACACCTACCACCCCTGGTTCACAACCTCTTCACAGCATGAGTGAAGACTCTGACTGCACCCACGTGACCATTCCTGAATCAGCCACTGGGTGGGTGGAGAGATGGCACACAGGCTTGAATTGACCTGCCTGGGTAACATGCTCACTTCTGACCCTTGTATGAGAACAGGGGTACCATTACAGAAAGAGTTCATCGGGACCAGAAGATGGCATAATGGTTACATTGCTGGACTACCACATGGCCAACTGTGGTTCGAGTCCTGGACCCAGCAGCTTAAAACTCATGCCAGTCACGTGTGCGTTCATGCTCAAAATCCCAAGAAGAGAATGGAGGAGAAGGAATTGTGGTGTGACCATTCCCCCAGGAGGTGATTTCTCGCTTTCTGGCTCTCTGTCTCTTCAGCAAGTGCACACACCCTATAGCAAAAATCTCTTTAAAAAAAAAAAAAGGAGGGGGATACTCCTCAAGGAAAAGAAGAATTATGTTACCAGGATGAGCTGAGGAAGTGGTGTGAAATAACCAAAACCAACAGAACATCTTCCTGCAATAGCCACCCCGTGCCAGATACAGAAGTAGCTCTTACTCTATGTGGGCAGGATACTCAGGGGGAATAAGAATATGCTATGAAATTAGATCACTTCTACCCAAATCATAGCTATTTCTCTTACTAGTCATGTTATTTTGGACAAGTTCTTCTAAATTCAATTTTCTCATAGTAAAACAGTGATATAAGACCTTCAGTGAAATATTATTCATTAATATTGAAGAGAAGGATATTCTGGTACATGCTACAACATGGATGAAGCTTGAAGACATTATGCTAAGTGAAATAAGCCAGTCACAAAAGGACAAATACTGTATGATGCTGCTTACATGAAGTACTTTGAATAGCCAAACATAGAAGCAAAGTCAAAAGGTGGTTGGAGGGGACCAGCAGTTAGCGTAATGGCTATGTCGCTGGACTCCCATGTAGTCGATCATGGTTCGTGTCCCGGACCCAGTGGCTTAAACTCACGCCGGGTGCGTGTGCGTGCGTGCCCAAGATCCCAAGAGGAGAATCACCCCTGGGGGGTGATTTCTCGCTTTATATCTCTCTGTCTCTCTCTGTCTTTCTGGCGAGCGCATGCACCCTATAGCTAAAAACCTCTCCAAAAAAAGAAAAAAGAAAAAAGAAAAAAGAAAAGGTAGTTGGGACGGGGGAGTGAGGAGAATAGAAATGATGGTTAATGGGTACATTCTGTTTTGCAAGACAGAAAAGAATTCTAGAGTTGGATGGTGGTGATGTTTGCACAGCAGTGTGAATGAACTTAACATCCCTGAATGGGACACTTAAAAATGATTAATATGGCAGGAGCCAACAGGTGGCATGGTGGTTGGGGCACTGTACTCCTACGTGGCTGACTGTGATTCGGGTCCCAGACCTGGAGACTTGCTTTCTCATCTTCTCTTTTCCCTCTCTCTCTTTCTCTGGTGAGCACATGTGCCCTGTAGCAAATTAAAATATGGGACCAGCACATGGCATAATGGTTATGTTGCTGGACTCCCACATAATCAACCGCAGTTTAAGTCCCAGACCTAGTGGCTTCAAACTCACGCTGGGCACATGTGCATGTGTGCCCAAAATCCCAAGAGGAGAATGGAGGAGAAGGGATTGCAGTGTGGCCATTACCCCTGGGGGATGATTTCTTGCTTTCTGTCTCTCTGTCTCTCTGGCAAGTGCACATACCCTATAGCAAAAATCTCTCAAAAAATAATAATAATGATAAATGAAGTTAAATAAATCATTCTTTTTAAAAATGATTAAAATGGAGACATTTAGGTTAAATGTAAATTTTACTACCATGAAAAACAACAATAGTGATGAAAGCGGTAAGTGTGATAACAGGCATAAAATACATAGTGCAGTGTGAACAACAGCAAGTGCTCAAAAGGTGACATACTACTGTTCTCCTAACTACCCTAGAGATATTACCACCCCTATACTTACAGCTGACTAAATGAAGACTTGGTGGTTCAGCAACTGATCCAAGTCCACCCAGCGAGAAAGTGGCAGAGTCAGGCTCACACCCAGTGCTCAACCCCTAAACCCCTGTTATTTTCTGTTATACCACGTGGTTTCCCAGCACTCTGCTTGCTAACTACTACTCCTGATATTTTTTAATGCTGCTTTGATTATGTTAAACTCCTGCTAATCGAGACTTTTGGAATCTACCTCTGATCTAAAACTCAAATGCCTCTTCCTGGAACAGTTCTTTTGCAGAATGAGCCATGACTTTTCTAGCCTTATTACAATGTCAAGGCCCTGCTTTACCCCTGTGTTTTTTATGGCCACAGCCATATACTGCTTCCCCGCAGGGACAACGTGGAAACTCTGCTCGCTTTTCTTTCTTATTTTCTGTTTTTTTTTTGTTGTTGTTGTTGTTTTTTTACATTTTGATTTGCTGGAGGGCATATGTATGTACCAGAGCAAGACGGAGAGAGGGAGAGAGAGAGAGACAGTGAGAAAACACTCCCCTCAAAAGCACTCCTGCCATAGGAGATGGCCACATTGCAATCCTTTCTCTTCTATTTCTCCTTTCAGGATATTTTGGGCATGCACGCATACTCACCTGGTGTTTTCTTCATGCCACTGGGTTTGGGGATTGAATTACATAGTCAGCCATGTAGGATCCAGCTACCTTAAACGCTACCACCAGCTGGCCCTCTACCCACTTTTCAATGCTCAACTCAAGACCTAAACTCCTCCAGACAGTGTCACCTAACTGAGAGACACAGACATTTCTTCTTCACTGCTATAGTGATTATTCTTCTTAATATTTTTCTTAAACATTTTCCTTTTGTTTTCAAAAGTATGCTTATTAACATAGAGTAGCTGTACATATTTGTGGGGGTACAATGTGATTTTGTAGTACAAGAACACAATGTGTAATGACACCTAGGTTAGTGAGCAGACCCACCATCTCAACCACTTGTCATTACTTATGTAGGAAAGGTTTAAAATCTTTCCTTTTAGTTATTTTGAGATCCATCACGAATCGTTGCCATCTATATTCTCCCTTCTGTATTTTATACCAATAGAGT